GACATGATCCTCACACTCCCGGAAGTTTACTATTTCTTGAGAAGATGCAAACGTGGACCTATTTTAATGCAATGCAAGCTACATTGTGTTAACTGCCTAAACAGAAGCAACCTGGAGATCTAGTTTCAGAAGAACACTCTGGAGTCAAAGTTACCTGCTTCTTTCTCCAACATTTCTTGAGCACCTAATATGTGCAAAGCATGGAATTAGGTACTTTTCTGGAAAATGAAAAAACCAGGTATGGTCTCTGCCTACAACTGTCCATTTAACAAATATTTCTTGGGTATCTACTATGTGTTAGGCACTAAGATGGACATTAAGGGACCACAGATGGCTAAGCATGCTCTTTACCTTCAAAGAGCATCTGGCCTATTTTTTTTTTAAAGGTTATTTACAAGCCTGTACTAATGCCTTTCTTGAATCAGGTCAAAATACAGATAAAGGAGAGGACTATATGCCCAGACATGGAGTTGAGTTTACCCCTGTGTTACTGAACACAACATGGAATGTGATGAAAATCCAGATCCTATGGGAACCAGTCTCATCAAAGAAAATCAAAGCAGGAGGCGAGTCTTTGGTGGTCACATCGCACATCTGATTTTCATTCATAACAACTCTACAGAATTCTTAAGGAACAGAACTTCAGTCACTGGCTTTTTTTAGCACCTTCCACAGAGCCTAATAAAAAGTAGGCAATTCGTAGACATCTAATAAACTGAAGAAAGACTAACTTATTGCTAGACTTAATCAAGGATAAATGCTCAAAATTAGAGAGGAGTTTTTAACTGTCTCATATACACTACTGTCAGTGATTTTTTTTTTTTTTTAATTGTGGAACAGAAAGCTAGAAACCCATTTAAGTAGTCCCTGTTTACAGCATCATCAGATGCCCTATGTTTTCAGGTTCACAAACTCATGGGAAGAGGCCAATTAATTCTCCCCTGGCATGGGACAGAATATAAGCTGTATTGTTGATACATGTGTTTTGTTCTGTGCCAAACTCTGTGTATGTGTGTGTATGGTGGTGGGGTAGGGGAGGGTAATTTCCCCCACTGAAGCATGCCCAGTATTCACTCTCCCCTGACCAACTCACCCTTATTTAACTTTTGTCAAAAAGGCTAACCATCTGCAGAGAAGGTTCTCTATATACAGTGCTTCCTAACACAAACCGTGATTTTTCAAAATGCCACACAGAAAAGGCCTATGCATCTGTGGGATTTCTTAGTAAACTGTTCCCACCTCACTAGAATCCACTATAGTAGAAAGCATCTCCAGAAGAAAGTGTCGGGAACTCTAATCAGATTGGATGTAGAGTCTAGAGACAAATACCTGCTTCACTTGTTCTGTGCCCATCCCTGGGGCTCATGCTGAGAGACCCTGTTACAGGAGAGACCATGTAATGAAGTTGTTTTGAGTCCTCTGGTTGGCTAAGTGGCCACTTCTGTGGATGGACACAAACTCTTTTTACAACACTGTCACCGCCTGTCTGCGAGAAGCAACACGGGAAGGGAATTAAGAGTGAGCAAAAAGCTCGAGGACAGATTTAACCTCTGCTCTCCAGCATGCTCACAGAGGAAAGGGAGAATTTAGTATGTAGTAGGTTAAAATTAAAATCGGCATGAGTGGTAAATTTAAAACAAAAACATCTCTTTGGGGGAAACTTTTTTTTTGATTAGTCTCACTTGGGCCAGACCATCTGGACACTGAAACCACATAATCCTATCTTATTTCTTATTCATGCTTCATCGTCAATCCTACTGTGTTCAGGCCTCGCCTCCAAATTCAAGGTTTCTTTGTGAAATGCTTGTCTGAACTAACCAGACAATTCTCTTTCAACTGAGCTTGTCACTCAAAACCCATGAGTCATGTAAAACCAGGATTGTAGCTGCAAAAAAATAAAATCAGAAAGAAATCTGGTTCTCTTGCATCTTTTTTTCCCCACAACACTACTGCTGTCATTAAACTGCCTTAAGTCTTGACCATGACATTTAAACTAAGAGTCCACGCATCTTTCCTACAGGGTTTTTGTTTCTTAACCAGCAATACTTGTTGATACTCATCTTATAACTCTGCCCTAAGTTAGGGTGATCCACAGACTCTGAAGGGTCCATCATTTTAAGTAGGGTAGGAGATTGTCTTGGAAGGAACAGGTTTAAAAGGATCCAGATCCTGCCCTACCTGCCCAGGAGAAGAGATGGGCATAACCATGAACTCCTCCAAAGAAGGACTGTTCGGCATCAAGAACCTTTGTCCTACATGACATTACAGCAAGGAATTTATCAGAAACATGAATGGGAGTTTACAGAGGACAATATCGCAAGCAGACAGGTAAATACCTGCCAAACATTCAAAACAGGACCACAGGAAAGTCAAGGCATTCTTTATATATATTTTTTTTTCCCTCTAGGTCAGAGTCAGTTTTACAAAACAGGACAATAAACAGGGCAACAGGCACATAAGAAAAGCATTCTTTGCTCTTCCATAATGGCCCAAGAAAGCAGATGGATCCATCTCTCTTGCCACACCATGCAAGTGGAAAGGGTCACTGCTCTGCATGAAGCAACTCCTTTCTCTAGAGTTCTAAGCATACATAACACACATAATGAAGCTGATTCATGGAAACAGGGTCCATGTGAAGAAATCAAGTTGGCCTTATATGTTGCTTGAAGTTCTTCCACATTTTTCCATTTTAGAAAACAGACATCAGCCTACCATAGCTAGCAGTGTGAACTGGAACTGGTACTGGATCAGCTGTGGGTTGTACTCTCACTAACACACCGACTTGCCAACACCCTGACCTGCTAGGTTTGAAGACTCTGGGGTTCCTGGCACCCTCCCCAGAGTAGAAACTGAGTTCCAGAATCAAAAGTCAGCATATGGTCCCAAGTCTGCCCTCTTAACTCCTCACAGGGGAGATTCAAAAGATAATGTCAGTTACACTTGAAAAATGAAAATGCTTCCCCAAATGAAAATATGTACTAGAATTTGATGTATTTTTAAATAGTAGGAGATGCTCTTTAATTTTTTCTGTGTTTCCCCAATTTTATTTCACAGATTTTTCTCCCAAAAGTCCTAAAAATAAGAACTTTTGTCTTTCTGGCTTGTTTTTTAAGAGCTGAAATGTAGAACCTCTAAGATTTCCACCTGGCTTGAGCTATATATAATCTAAAGGCTTTATCATAGCAAACTACACCAAAAAACTCTGATCATATCCAGATGCTAATTAAAGAACTACCTGAGTCACGTTGCTGTGATTACTGGGGTCTCTCCAAGCCCTGTGATTCTTACAAAAGTAAGTTTTAGTTACTTTACCAAGGCTCAAGTGTTGTTCCTGGGATTGGACCATGCCAGTTCCCACAGGGTGTGGGTGTCACTGCCACCATCAACAGTTTGGTGGCTTTTGCCTACATCATAACCAACCTCTGCATTGGATTCTGTTGTTCACCTCATCAGAGTCTTTCAGGACTAGGATGTTATCAAAGTATTATCATCCCATTTTAGAGAAGAGACTGTGGAGACCATCACAGCAAGTGACTTGCTTAAGGTCACAGGCTGTGAGAGGGATCGAACAGGAACTTAGTCTTCGAGCCCCAAAGCCTGTGCCTTCCACTAATCTACCCAAAACTAAGACAGACAGGTATGATGGGGATATTTTATTCTCATGCCTGGCTCAATTCCCATTAATGTTCTACGGGTTCAGCACATGCTTAGGACCTGAACTCCAGGTACAGCTGTTTTGTCATCTGCCATTTGAGGCTGGTAATTCCTACCTCCCAGGGCTGTTCTGAGGATTAAATGAACTGATATGTCTAAAGCCCTTAAATCCATGCCTGGCCCACAGTGAGTGCCATCTAAATGGGAGCTCATCTTAGCTGCTCAATCCCTCATTCATTCAAGGAGTTAACACTGAGAGAGCCAAAGAGAGTCTGCAGTCACCTGAAGATCTGGAAAGTGTCTAATCCACATGGTGGGCAGTCATTGCAATGACAGAACAAAACAGTGGTCATGAGAACAAGCCTGAGTTAGATCACACTGCAGCCCGAGAAGCCTTGATGTTCAAAGTCAGGTGTTCCGGCTGCTTCTCTCTGTGGTCAATTCCCCTGACTCGGACATCAACCTCAAGGCCCATCCACAGAAATAGAACCACTGGAAATGACACGACTAGAGAAAGTCTGTTTGGAAAGGCTGTCATTTTTTGAAAAACAGCAGGTTTCTCCTTTCCCTAATAGGAATGAGTTTCGCTCTAATTGAGAGAAATTTTTTTCCAGAATTTTAATCCCACGCACAGCTCAATGGCTTAAAAAAGGCATTTATTTTTCCTGAGCCTTTGAAAGATACTTTAAACTGGCAGGAGATAGCAGTGAAGCAATGGAGAAAGCTGTGAGTTTCAACACGCTAACAAGAAACTACTTTTTTTCCCCTTTTAAAAACCCACATCTAAGCGTTCCTAACCATGTAAAAACTTCCTCTTTTTTGCTTTTGGCCCAAGGCCTAATCATCATCATGGTAGCATTTTATTGAGCACACATTTGGCACTACCTCTTTTCCCCTCCCTTCTTTGCCTCCCCAAATCCCATAGCAAAACATCCCTTAGTCCTCTTTTGCCTGTTTAAATAAATGAAAAAAATCCAAGGTTTCCTTGGAAAAGCCTGCTGAAGACACTTCAGAGAGATGGGGGCAAAAAAGAGTGCCAGATTATAAAAATATGGGCACGAGAAAAGGGTGTCAATTTGGCAGTGCTTCTTGGAAAGATTCATTCCAAATAGCCAGTCCCAAGCAGGTCCCTGAATGTAGGTTTGTTTGCTGAGGACAACGCCTGCTCTCTAAGGGATATACTGGAATGCTCAGAAATTGACATAAAGACACAAAGGACTTTAGGCAGACACTGGAACTTGGAGTGCAGGCCTAGAAGCCTGGGCCTGAAGGAGAGGCAGCCAAGGCAAAGGTTTCTGGAAGAGCCCTTTTCCTGCAGAGGGTCACACACAGACAATGGTACTCACCTTGACTTTGGAGGTGGGGGAGGAGGTGAGAATGTCTCAATTCTACTTCTGTCCTTGGGGAACTCAAAAGCAAAAGAGGCCGATTTGCTCATGCCAGTCCCGACTTTACTGTTTTGCCCAGAGGAGCCCTCTGCAGGGTAGTGGAGGCGGTGCCAGGTCGTGGAGTTTGAATGATCTGTGGGGCCATTTTTCATCTCTCTTCCCCAGCTTTGACTCAGCAATTCCTGCTCTACCTCCTCCTCTTCCTCGATCCGGCACTGACGACTCCAGGTGCTGGTCTGGAACCTGGGCCGCCTCTGGTCTGAGGCTGAGGAGGTGGCAGCAGGTGGGGGACACCGGGCAGGGTCGCTAGCAGTGATACCATTGGTCCGGCAAGAAGAAACAGGGTCAGTGGGGCCCCTGGATGCAGGTGGGAGCCCACTGCCACTGCCACCGCCAGAGCTCCCCTCACTAAGATCAGTCAATGGAAAGGCGGATGGTGATACCGGGGACCCTCCGGGGCTACTTTTGGACAGTTTAGGAGGAATGGCGGGCTTCCCCTTGGGTGTGTTCTCGATTGCATGGTGAGCATGGCTGTTCCTGGAGCTCAACACTTGCCCAGTCGAAGTTTCCTCTTGGCCTGCTTCAGGGTCCTGGCTCACAGGTCCGCGTGGCCACTGCACCCCCACTGCAGAGTCAGGGCTGCTCAGGTAGATGGTCCGATGGTCCTCTTCTGGGTGGGCTGCCATGACGGTGATGGTGGCTGCCACCTGGAGAGCTGGGTCTGGGCTGTCCTGGCTCCAGCCAGATGCTGTTTTCAGAGCCCAGGGCTTACTTGTCCAGACCTGACCCTTGCCCTGGGCAGCTGCTCCCTGTTCTGCCTTGGCCTGTGGCCTAGAGGGCGCTGGAACTGCCTTCTTCCTCTTGGTGCTCTCAGCATAGATGGGTTCAGGCTGTGCAGGCTCCTTGGGGTGGGCCTGGGACTGGGACTCTCCAGTCAGCCCAAGACACTTGCTAGAGGTCACCCCGTGGCAGCCAGGGTCCTGCTCCTTCCCTGGCAGAGGTTCCTTCATGAGGGAGCAATAATCGCTTTCAAGGTGGGGGGCAAAAGGGCTGCTGGCCCCGCTGCTGCCACTGCCACAGGAGAGGCCATCGGAAGAAGTGGCAGCATCTGAGGTGAGGGATGGCTTCTTGGGGCCCAGGCGGGGCAGGTTGGCAGTGGTGCCCTGGCTACAGCACTCCCTGGGGAAGCTCGGAGCCTGCTTCTCCTCCTCAGTGGGCCCCGCACATGTCCGCTGCTCCCAGCACGTTGGCGAGCAGTCCCCTGTGCCACGCCTGCCCCGGGAGCCTTCAGTCTGATCCTTGGTGACAGTGCTCTCGGGACAACAGTCCAGGATGGAGCAGTATTCTCCACCTTCACTGTCTCCCGAGGGTGAGCACCTTTGATCACTGTCATCCTCCGAGGGCAAGGACTCTCTTAAGGGCCCAGGGCCCTGGTGGCAGCCAGATGTTGCCCCAGCAAGAGCAGCCAGTTTCTGGCGGAAACTCTCCTGGGCAGAGGGCAGCACTGGGTGGGGAAATGAGGGTTTATCTTCGCGCCCAACCTTCTCGTCCGGGAAGCTCACTGGATGAAAGGTGATGTTCCTCTCCCCCCGGGCTTCGAGGTTGTGCAGGCCGACCATGGTGTAAGCAGGAGGGGAGCAGCGGGAGTTGCTGTCAGGGGAGACAGAGGGCCCAGCAGGCTTCTGTACACCTCGGAAGCTGCCCACATAGACGATGGGCACGTCTTCCTGCTTGGGAAGGGAGAGTTTGCCAGAGGGTCGTCTCCAGATGACCTACACAGCCCCAAGGTGAAAAGACTCATGTTAGTCCTTGCCAGAAAACAGAGGAAGAGAGAAAAAGTGAGAGGGAAGGGCAATGACATTGTCAACTGTCTTCTGTAGTGCAGTGCAGGGGCACCGCAGCCATGGACTAGTACAGGCCCTGTGCCCGCCCACCTTCTGATCTCCCCACGCCTATGATCATTGCTGGACACCCACTGAGCCACTTGTCTTCCCAGACACTGAGCTGGCTTCCCACCCGTGGACTGTTATGCTTTTTGGCTTAAGCCTGCAAGGCAGGAAAAGAAAAATACAACTCTAAAAAAGAATGTTTTGCCTTCTCCCTCCCTTGCAACTGCCAGGTGGAATAAGTTGTTCTGCAGGCTTGGAAAGGAGTTTGGGGTTTTGTTTAATGTGTGCAGGGTTTTTGATAACCCCGTCACAGTGTATGCCTGAAAAATTCGAGGTCATAAACGTTTTTAAAACACCTTGGCAGGGTTTGGGGGTGGGTGGGTAACAGCAGGGCAGTAAGGTAAGGGATAGTGTCTGAGCTGAATCTGGGCTTCCTTGTCTCTTTCTGGGTTTTTCTTCAGGTCAGGTCAAAGAGCCGCTCTTTTTCCCAGTTACAGTTATGACCTCAGTCAGAGCCTGCACGAATGGTTGGACTAGTTGGGTCTTGAGATAGAGATGATACGAACTGGCCATTACCATCACCAAAGTCACTATTCCCTCCTCCTTCTCATCTAAAGTCCTCCCTACCCCAACTTTTAGAAGAGCCTCAAGAGAGGGCCTATCTCTAGCTCCTTTCCCAGATGGTTCTGAACTTAAAGACCAGATCTGGCTCATGTAGGTGAAGGTTGAAAGTACTGAGAACGTCTGGGTAAATGGGTGTAACCAGCTTAGGAAAAATAGAGCAGCCCTGCAGGGAACTTGAGCTCACTGCAACCACAGGAAATGCCTCCCTCAACTTAAAACTGACCTGTGTTTTCACGTGTGCTCATACAGCCTTCCTGGTCTACTCACCACATTGGTTGAGAAAAATTAGAAGAGGCAAAGAGGTCAAACAGGTAGCAAGTGTTCCTAGAGTATGTCTTAGCCGCATAGTTTGCTAGATGTGTCCAAAGACAGCAGACGCCAGCTGCCCTGGGCTATGTGTTCTCTGAATAAATATCTCTTTAAGGGTTATCTATGGGATGAGCCTCCAGAGTCTAACCTCCAGGGAAATAACTGTTTTTCATGATCCTAGAACACAACGAGTAAAATCCAAGCTTCAAAATTGGAAATAGGAACACTGCCTGGGTGCTGGATGTTATTAAGGAATTTTTAAGTGTGATAATGGTATTGTGGTTTTATTTTTTATAAAGATGTACTCTTTAAAAAATCTGTAATGAAATGGTATGATGTCTGGAAACTGCTTTAAAATCACAGGGAAGGGGGTAAGTGGGGAGGAGAGATGAAACAAGATTGGTCATGAGTTGATGGTGACTCAAGTTCATGTCGAAGGGTGTTGGGTGCATGGGATTTATTACGTAATTATTGCTACTTGTATATATATTTCAAATTATTGATTGAACATTTTTAAACAACTTTGTTTTGAACAAAGCTCAACTGTCATCTACCCTATGGGTTCTCCAAGTCATAAGAGGAAGTTCTGAGGGGCTGGATTAATGGTTCTTAGCCTAAAGGGACAGATAGAAAAGAGGGCAGTTACAGCAACCTCAGCAGTCAGGCAAGCGCGATCTCGGGACAAGCTGATGGGAAACCATCCTGCAGGATTCTTGCTGGAACAGCCCTCCCTGGCTGCCAGCCAGTCACCCAATGTTAGAACAGGAGTAGCCTCTGTAAAAATACCACACAGGTTAGTCAGCCTCACCTGTGAGACTTCAGCGCTCAGGCTGGCCTCAGTCCACACATCAGAGGCCTCAGAGCTCATCATGGTGGGCTTCACAGCGATTGTGGGCTTGGAGTAGGGTGAGCTGTTCACACTGTCATCTTCCAGGCGGCAGTTCTCGGGCCTGGGGGGCAGACGTGGTGGAGGGGGCAGACTGCCTGCTCTGGGTTGGGCACAGCCAGCTGCCAGCTGGTGGTCACTCCACAGGCAGAAGCAGTTCTTGCAGGATCCGGGCTTCCAGATGTGCTCCACAAAGTCGCTGCACGCAGACATTTTTGGTCTCTCGGGTTTCAGTCAGAGGGTCTGGTGCATCTTGAGCTGACAGTGGGCTTGCTCATCTTGCACCTGGCTCTCTGGCGTGGTCTTGCAGGAGGCAGAGGTGGGTCACAGAGTGGCTTTCTGGAAAGGCAGGACACTTGACTGATTAAATCTGTCCTGCTAGAGAGAGAGCCCACAGATTGGGAAAAAATATTTGCTCACTGTATGTCTGACAAAGACCTGACACCTAGAATCTACAAGGAACTCAAATGAGCCCACCCCCCCACCCCCCGCCAAAAAAACAGGCCCATTACAAAGCTGGCAAAAGATAGGAATAGCCACTTCTCAAAAGAAGACATATGAGCAGCCAACAGATACATGAAAAAATGCTCAACCCCACTAATCATCAAAGAAATGCAAATTAAAACTACACTGAGATAGCACCTAACTCCAATCAGGACAGCCATCATCAATAACACCCCCCCCCAAAACAACAAACAGATGCTGGAGAGGATGCAGCAAAAAGAGAAAACTTCTACACTGTTGGTAGGAGTGTAAACTAGTACAGCCTCTGTGGAAAACAGTGTGGCGATTCCTAAAAGACCCAAAAATCATCTTCCCATACAACCCCGCAATCCCCCTACTGGGAATATGCCCAGAGGAACTCAAATCCCTCTGTGAAAAAGATACCTGCACACGTATGTTTATTGCAGCTTGTTCACAATAGCAAAAATATGGACCCAACCATGTTGCCCATCAGAAAAGGACTGGATAAAAAAATGTGGTACATATACATGATGTAATATTACACAGTCATAAAGAAGGACAAAAGTATGAACTTCGCAGCAACTTGAATGGACTTAGAGTCTATCATACTGAATGATCTGTCACAGAAACAAAGAACTGAATATCACATGTTCTCACTCACAAGCAGATCTTGAACAATTATTGTAATACTATAAGAAAAGGATTGGCAGTAGTGGGAATCTGCTGGGGAGAGGGGGCATACCTCGTCAACAGGGGCAACTGTATGATGAACATTTGTATGTCTAACCCTGGATTGTACCCCACATCTTTAAAATTAAAATTTTTTTAAAATAATAAATAAAACTAAAAATAAATCTGCCCTGCTGGAGAATGGGTGCATTGTCAGTTAGAGTCTGATGATTTGATTGAGGAGAAGAGGGAGAGAGGGGGTAAGGTGGAGAAAAGACAATGATTCAGATTCCATTTATTCTGTGGCTGTCGCCCATTTGTCACAAGGCTCTTAGACACTCTCTAGTGGTGTGCCTTATCAGAAGCTTTAAAAATCAAAAACAGTTCTGTCACACGAAAAGAGTGCGTTAAACATATTTCAGTCCCCTAAAATCCTGGGTACACAGAGGTTGGGGCAGTTACAGGAATAAATCACACAGGGTTTGAGATAGGAAGCCTGTACCTCATCCATGTATTTCCTGACAGTGGGGAACCTAGAACCTGGGACACTGCCCTAGAGAAACAAGGACTGCGAAGTAGTACAGCAAATGAAAATAATGGCTTTTGGACAATAACCCACAATTTTTTACCAGAAACTATGTGAGAGGGAAGGCAGGTGTGGGCTCTGAACTGGGCATTGGAATCCACACTTCTGACCAGGTATAGTGGGAATGGTTGAGAAGGGGGAGAAGTGGGATTTCAGCCCATCCCTCAGGGGAACCTGATGAAGAGGCATGGCATCTTGACTCTAAGCTGAGTGAGGTCAACACAGCTGGGTGCTGCCAGGCCAAAGGGGAAAACACATGATCTCCACAGTCCTGGTTGAAGCCTGGCTGGATAGACTATGAGAAAGTTATTTCTCTATGATAGTCTGGAGAGAAGGCAATCTGTTTGCTCAAAGATGACATTGCTTCTGAGAGGAAAAACCACAAGCTACAGTTTGCACTATAGTCCTTAGTAAATTCACCCCTGACAAGGAGCTCAAAAGGTCACAGACATTTACCAGTTACCGTGGACACAGAGTGCACCAGTTCTGGAAAGAGAAGCCAAATTTGCGGGCAATCCCTCACCTCACCACGATTCATGAGCCTGCGTAGCTTGCCATGATCTGCATGTTGCTTGTGACTCTTCTTAACCTAAGAGGAAGTGATTTCCCATAAAGGGTATTCGAGAAAAAAAAATTGTCCTTAAAATCCTAAAGTAGGTCAGCCACAGTAGCTCATGCCTATAATCCCAGCACTTTCGGAGGCCAAGATGGGAGAACAGCTTGAGGCTAGGAGTTTGACACCAGCCTGAGCAACATAACAAGATCCCATCTCTACAAAAATAAAAATAAAAAAGGAGCCAGACATGGTGGCACCCACCTGTTGTCCTAGCTAGGTGGGTGGGAGCCTGAGGTGGGAGGATCAGTTGAAGCCAGGAGTTCAAGGCTACACTGAGCTATGGTCATGCCATTGTACTCTAGCCTGGGTGACAGAGCAAAATGCCATCTCTACAGGAAAGGAAGGAAGGAAGAGAAAGAAAGAAAGAAAGAAAGAAAGAAAGAAAGAAAGAAAGAAAGAAAGAAAGAAAGAAAGAAAGAAAGAAGGAAGAGAAAGAAAGAAAGAAAGAAAGAAAGAAAGAAAGAAAGAAAGAAAGAAAGAAAGAAAGACAGACTAGGTGTAGTAGCATATGCCTGTAGTTCCAGCTACTGGGGAGGATGAGGCCAGGAGTCTGAGGTTATAGTACTGCACCACAGCCTGGGAAACACAGCAAGATTCTGTCAAATAAATACGTAAATAAAACAAAAAACCAAATCACACTTCAAGTGAAGGGATCTCATTAAATAGGGGTAAATATGGAGGGTTTTGTCTCAGGGTTTGCTTTCTACTTTCCTCCTGTGAGAATGTGCTTGACGCTCTCTAAACTATCAACAGGACTAACCGGGAGAAGGAGCCAGTCACTCCGCAGATCATGCTAGAGTCTTTGTGGGAAGTACTCTCTTTCTTATCTCCCACACTCACAGACAGGGGTGCTTATTCAACAAGTGCTGAGCGACATGTGCCTCTTTTCCCTCCAAAGTTAAGCATGAAGCCTGCTGCCTCTATAAGCTAAATAAATCCTCTGAAATAAAAGAAAAGTATGTATCTTTCAGCAGTCATTATTAGGGTCTTTCAGAACCCTTTCTTTTAAGATGATTGTTGGTTAGGTTCCTCTCCTCCTCCAAATATGCCCAAGTAGCAGGCTCATTCCTTGCCAAGTTCTCCAGAAGAGGTCACTGAGCTTCAACAAGCAGAGCCAGGTTTTGTCTTTCTCTTATAATCTCAGGCCACAGGGAGTTGTGGGCTTGCTGCTACATTCTGGAGGGAAGAAATATTTTGGCCTTCAGGGGTGGGGAATAGGTCCCTTCCTAGATAGCTGATGGGTGAAGGCTGTGGAGGCCTCTCTGTCCACAGGAAAAAACAGGTTCAGGCCCATCTCTACTGCGGGCTGAGCTTCCACACCCTCCCCCTCAGTGGGATGGGGGAAGACAGCTTGGAAACCCGCTCTGTGTGGGCTCCACCAGTTGCCACCAGCTCCTCCTGAGGCTGGGCTGTCTGAGAAGGTGGGCACCCAACTACTTCCTCAGGGGCTACCACAGATTCACAGAGAAGCAGTTTTGCGTGGCCACATCTCATTTCCTCCTCAACAAGCAACAGAGAACACAAACTGACATGGGGAGGGAGGTGGGATTGCTTGGTGCCAAAGACCCCACTTTCTAAGGTCCCCATCCTTGTATAGCCCTGGAAGCTTGGTGGGAGCTGGATGACGAACATGGGGGAAGCTTCCTTGAGAGCCCCTTACCAGTTTATGAGCACTCTCTTTGCTTCCATCCCCTCAGCTCTCAAGCTCTTGCAGGGCTGGGTGTACACATTTTACCACACAACTGATTGCCCAGGGGATGCAAAGGTTTTCACGGAGAAGTCGTTGAAAAAGAGAACAAAACGAAGTCAGGGCATCCCACTGTCCTTGACTCACTGCATCCTATTGAAACTGGTTTCTCAGGCACAGCAAACAGAATTTGCCACCACGTCCAGCCAAAAAAAGACTCTTTACCAGTTGCACTTCTGTGCCTGGAATGATCTCCTATTTGCTTTAAGTAAAAGATGGTGAGAAACGCAAGTGGCGCCCACAGAGCAGGAGCCTCGCCTGGCACAGTGGTGCCAGCTTTCCACAGCCTGGGAATGGCACATCCCAGCCCACATTCCTTACCTCAGAGGGGAGGCAGCCCCCAGAATTATGCAAATCCCTTCATTTCAGTGGGAGGTTGCAGTGTCAGATTAGAAAAAAGATCTCCGCATTCTTTCTGATCCAAGTCATGATAAAATATCTCTGCCTCTGCAAACTTCTGCGCTGGATTTGTGGCTACAGTTTGCAAGACTGAAGCTGTCAGATACACTCCCACCCCATTTCCAAAAGAATCTGAAGAATCAGGGTGGCCAGGTCCATACAATTAAACAGCCTGGCTCCAAATGCCCCTCACACTAGCATCAGAAGTTGTTTATGCATGACTCTGAAGTGACAGAATTCCAGCAAACATTTATCTAAAATAATGTTCTAGGTACAGAGGGTGCCAAAAAAGTCATACACATTTTAAGACAGGAAAAAACTATTAAAATTGTAATAGTCAATATATACCAATAACAAAAGGCGAATACAAGTCACACTTGACTTCTGCAATTACAAGAGGTGCTCAAAGTGGTTACTATCAACATCCAGACACTTCTGAAAATGAAAAACTAAAAGTAGTACATAGATAACACCTCTTAAAATGTATGTACATTTCTTTGTCACCCCCAGTATTATAATTAATGCAACACCAGAAAAAGGTTATATGTATAAAGAACATCTGGATTTCAACAGACGCCATTGGCTGGGTTGACCCGGTATAAAGGAGAAAATGACAACCTTAACATCCCCTAAGCCCCCTCACCCACCCCCACCCCCTCCTGACACACACACAGAGGGCAAAAGATCCTGACACAACTTTACCTTTTCTTTTTTTCTGTCTCCAATGCTGTGTAATCTAATCTTAGCAGGAAGAATGTGGTTTCGCACCCTCTACAGTCTAAACCAATAAGGTGGACCCCAGGATTGCAAAATACCTGCAGAACTCCCTAGAGTCTCCTGTCAAATTTTCTTCTGCGACAGCGAGGGAAA